TCGGCATTCTTTCATCCGCTACAGTATACTTGCCGATGAGTTATCTCGTCATGTGAACTCGCTTACAGAAGATGAAACAATATAAAAATAGGGAATATAAATTAAAAAAAAAAAAAAAAAACTAATAATAATACTAATAATAATAATTCATGAAGAAGAAGAAGAAGAAGAAAAATTGTCGTCTTATCTGTGTGTCGGGACGTTGCGTTTTCAAGAAGTAAAACAAACGTACACGCGCGCGGATTCTCACGTGGTTATTTATTGTCGCGCAGATTTTCAAGGTAAATGACGCACGCTTGACACTTACCAGTGGTGATGATGCAACATCCGTTTGACTCTCGTTGTCGCCGTCGCGCTGATCAGGTCCAGTCTCGGCAGTCACTGAAAACAGTAACAAAATAATGCACGGTTAATCCTTTAGCCTCGTAATTATTTGAATAATTATATCGCCCGGAATATAGCGCTACAATAACATCGTCCGTATGCGTAGCGGTCAATTTGCTTAATTGCCGTCGACAGGAACATCTACGCGAGAAACATTGTGTCACAATAGAATCTTGGCATCGTAAAGCACGTGCGCCTCGTCATCATATGTTCTCGATTAATAATGGATAGGCATTCAGAGAAAATAGGTAGATATAAGAAAGAAAGGGAAAAGGAAGGGAAATGTAGATGGCAATGAAAAGGAAGATGGAGAAGACGATGAAACAAAAATTGTTGTGTGCAGCAGCGGCAGCGTTAAAATGCATGGTCGCGTGCTCTATCCGAAATCCACCTAGAGTAGAACGCCAAAGCCAAGAACCGCAGCAGCATCCGATCCGAAGTCCGCCGGATGTTTGCGGCTTGCGCTCCTCTTCCGTGGAGTTTCTCATGAGAAACGCGAGGCCGCCCCGGTAGTATTAAAAGGAGCAGAAATAAGGTAAGCGACCGGGAAGAGAGACGAAGGAAGAAGAAGAGAGACCCCGCTCGCGGGATATCGAATATCGGACGCCGAATCATCTTTGCGATAAGGAGGCCACGGAGCGAGCCTCCCACCCCCAATCTCCTCTCGCCTCATAGCCCGTTCGCGTTATCGTAGGAAGAAACACGAGGAATGGCGAGTATCGACGAGCGAGGATCGGCTCGCGTTACGGACGCAGAATCGAGGTTTCTTTATCGATCGCTAAAGTCACCGCGACGTAGATCCCAGCCGAAGCGAAACGCCGCTTTTCTTCGACAGCTGCTCTTTCGTTCTCCGAGCAAATATTACTTAACCTCCGATCGAGCCCTAATCCACCTGCGCCACCACTACCACGGCCACGACCACCACCACCGCCACCACCACCACCACCATCACCATCACCATCACCATCGGTGCTACCTGTCTCTCCCGCCCACCCCAAATGGACCTCGTTTATCGGCAGTGGCATTTACAAGGGCGCGGCAAATTATTCGGGGCGACGAGCTAAATCTCGACGGTTTTTATCTCGGTGAGATCAGCGATAAAAATACGGCCTCTGGCGATATCACGGCCGACGATCGCCGCGTCCACGATTCACGTTTAAGAATGTTGAGATAATGCGCGAGGCCGAGCGTTGACGGCGACGAGCTCGAGAGGGGGGTACATCGGTGGACTTGATCTCTCTCTCTCTCTCTCTCTCTCTCTCTCTCTCCCTTCAGCTGTATTCTAATTAAGCTGCATTATCCTTGACTTTTGTCACACAGTACGATGGCCGATCGTTAACCGTTTGGCCAAGTATTTTTGCGATATCTGATTGACATTTTTTAATCCATCTTTTAAATAGCGATATGAAAAGAAAGTTTTTTTTTTTTGTTTCGTTGTGCGACGCGCCGCTTGCCCAACGTCGACGTCGCCGCTGTCGCAACGCGCAACATTGAGAGCACGGGGGGAGAACCCTTTTGTGCAGACGTGAAATCTTTGCGAATTCCACGCGGCCTCGGACGACTCGCCATTAACAGCGCAGGACCTCCCCCACGAGTGTTGCGAAAGTAACGAGGCTCGCGAGACGGGTACGGCGAGACGACGCCGCGTACGTGTCGGGTTGCGAGAGCAACGAAATTGCGCGACAACGACGGCGATTCTTTCGTACGAGATGGGTGCGAACGTTCGTTCGCGCCTATTCGTGGGCACTTTGCCTTCCTCGCGACGCTCGTATTGATCGCGATGTGCCCCCCCCCACTCGGGGGGAGGGGGGGGGGCTTATCGGCCAACATACCGAGCCTTAATCGCGTCGCTATTTCCAGCCAGCCGAGGCACTTTGTAGTCCGTGGTTTATCGCCGGTCTAGTCTGGCGAACCGCAGGCGGCGGGAAAGGCAAGCGGCCCGGGCGCTACAAGACGCAGCAGGAAGCGAAGCACCAGTTTCCCAAGCTAGAGCGGATAAATAATCGGGCTCTGTCTCGGACTCGGATAAAAATGTCGGCGACCGTTCGCTCGAGCGCTACGTCCGACGCCCGACCGAGACGTAAATCCTCAGAAACAGCACCGAGAAGACGAGGCGCGCACGCGCCCGCACCCACGGTAAATCGATGAACGTCGCCGCGGACGCCGCTGCCGTAGGTGATGATGACGGGGCGCGGGGCCGCGGTTTAACGGGGTGGGAAGGAGGACTAAGAGAGACGGAGTGCGCGCGTCGGCCCTGGGACGGAAGTCCACGAAGTGAAAAACGAGGGAGAGCGAGGCGGTCGAGAGAAGCCTTAGCTCGAGAGCCGGAGCCGGAGCCGGAGACGGAGACGCGGAGGACGGTTTATCTTATAGCGCGGACTTGCGGCTCGCGCCCCTTCCTCTCGGGGCCGCGCGACCTGCCACTGGTTCATGGCCGATTCGCTCCGTCCCGATAAAGAGGATCGATCGAGCGGGTTTCCGGGAAAGCGAGGCGATCCGTAGCTACGTGAGTAGCCGACTAGCGGGCGCGGCACTTTGCACTTTGGCCCCCTTTTAATGTGCCGATGCC